TACATATACATATGTATATATAATATATATATATATATATATATATATATATATATGTTTATATTTATATATACATATCTATATATTATACATACATACATATGTATATATATATATATATATATATATATATATATATATATATATATATATATATACATATATACATACATAATATATATATATATATATATATATATATATATATATATATATATATATATATATATATATAAACACACACACACACACATATATATACATATATTAGTATGTGTTTGTGTGTATGTGCGTGTGTGTACGTGTGTGTATGGGTGTGTTTGTGTGTGTAATTATGAGTGTGTATGTGTATGTGTGTGTTTGTGTGTATGTATGTAAACATATACACACATACATACATACACACACACACACACACATATTCTATATATATGTATAAATAATGATAATAATAATGATCATATTAATCATAATCATAATAATAATAGATTGTTGTAAAGGAGTGAAAAAACGAAGGGGGGGGGGTAGTCTTGAAATGGGAATAAGTTCCAGATTAAAAGTAGGGGCGAGAAACCTCTCTTCGTAGGTACGTACGACTTATACATTATTTTACGTCCCGGTTATGACTGGAGGTCGGGGTCGGGGAGTAAGCAATTATTTGTGCAATCCTCTCATATCTACTGCCGTGCTGGTGGTTTATATTAGAGTAAAATATTGAATACGTATGAACTAAAGTAAAATAAAGGAATAAACTATTTTGTTTTATATGATTTTTATTTTTTATTATTCATTTTTTTGTTTTTACTAGATTGACAAAAGAACAAGCGAAATTGAAAAAAAAATTAATTAATCATTTTTTTTGCTGAGAAGAGATACCTAGGAACTCAAGTTAATTATGTAATTCTAAGTGAAACGTGGAACTAGAGAACTTATTTTTATTTGATTCTGATAGTTTATACTTTCATATTTTCTGATTGCTGAGAAACAAGTGGAAAGAGAGGTGGGGGTTCATGGATTGAACGAGAAGTATGATTGGCATAAAGAGAAAATGGACGACGAAGGGGAAACAAAACTAGATCGGGGAAAGAGGGATTGAAGAGAGAGGATAAAGGAATAAAGCGGGGTTAAATCGCATCTAGGTGGGGAGGGGACTGAAATTCTCTGACAACTTGGTCTGACATACGAAAAAGGGGGGGGGGCGAAGGAAGAGCAGTGTGCACAAATACAGGTATATTGAACATATGGTGATAATAAGATACACGATAAATAAGGAAATGGAACTCAACAAAAAGTATTGCTGAGGCTTGTTTAGAACGTCCCTTGATGAATAAAAGTCAACAAAAAGCAGAACCAACCAAGAAATAAAGGAATTGTGCTGTGGAATTCAGTGCAGTAACTCAAAGACTTGTAATACATATACATATATATATATATATATATATATATATATATATATATATATATATATATATATATATATATATATATATATATTATATATATATATATATATATATATATATATATATATACATTTATACATATATATTTGTGTGTATGTGTGTGTGTGTGTATAGCATGCCATATACATGCTTTTGTGTGTGCTGTGCAAGCGCAGTGGTTAGAGTGTTGACCCAGCAGTCTTGCAGACCTGAAATCAATCCCGCGCACTGCCAGTGGATGGCAACCCCAGCCATCCTTTCCACATGGGGGAGAAGCACAGACACTATGTCACGGCAAAGAATATCCATTGTAACAAATGGAATTAACACCAAATCTATAAATAAATAAATCTATATATGCTACAACTCTAAGCCACGTGATTAAGACCAAGTTGCCTCCCGGGCCTGCCAGTCTCGTATCATGTTTCTTATTACTCGTATGTAAACTCTTAAGAATACAGAGTAAAGCCGTAATCAAGTCTTACTACTTCCCATCAGTCTTAGTATAGTGTTGTGGCAGGGTGGTGGTTCTCGAGCTTTTGACTCGCAAACACTTACCATACACGCCTCCGGGATCCGCCAACGGTCTCTCGATACGACGAACAGGATATAAGGACACATTATAATTAAATTTTTTTCTCTTCCCTTCCTTCTTCTCCTATATATATGTTAATCATACAAAATGTGCAGTCACTCTTTTGTTGGTTGAAAGTGCTAAATGTGGTAATTTAAAAACCATACGGTAACATGAATGGTAACACTGACCTAAGGTCATATTTCTTCGAATAGATGTCAGAATAGGACTTCTGATCGCAAGAACGAAATATTGTTCATTTAGTAATTAACTCATTTCTCCCGTTTTCAGAGATTTACATTGTTTTAACTACAACGAATTCAATGCTTTCATGAATCTCTCTCTAACAGGATTTTCTCCTTGTGATTTCGCTGTCAATTCACGAATTCTTTGTACTCCATTTTCTTCCTCTAAGTGGTTCGTTGATTGACTGTTGAAATTCATTAGTCTTTTCATTCCTTTTATTCTCTTACTTTATTCTTTACTTTATTTTCTCTGTTATCTGTATTCACGAACACATATCATTTAAATCTTGCTAGTAAACATTTTGCCTCCACCCTCTGACTGACCTCACCTTCCCTTTCATCTGGTTAGACATGGGCTGGGAAAAGCGATCCTTTATTTGGTTGTTTGTTTACTCAGTTGGGTTACAGCCGTACTTACTCGCTGGAGACACGTTCTACCGACGCTAAAACAGAGCTGTGTACTGCGAATTTGTACTGAATTTATCTTTTAGATATAGGGTTAGTATCTCCCCCAATCATAATGATGCGCTGGGATGTATGAATCGCCTAATAGAACTTCCGCTCCGACGTCCGAGAGTTAAAAAAAAAAAAAAGTACAACTGAAGTTACTCGTTCCATCAGCAACTCGAGTCGGTGTGAGCCCGTGTTGACGTCCGCGTATAACTGTAGGACAAGGGTAGAATAATGATTCGCTTACTGATCACGTCCTTCTCACCTTACTAAAGTCGCTTGCATGTTTCTGGGTAGAATCTCAGGCAGTCATGTGATTTCATGAGCTAGATAGTCACGAGCGCCCATCACAGATTGTAGATAGAGTGGGTAAATATAGATTTTACCACCTGATTCAGTTCACTTTATTTTGTTTGCTAATTTGGTTATAGGGACCCCCGTCGATGAAGTCTAATGCAATCTGATATGCTTAAGCTAGAAATAATTACCTCAATCTATCAGAACTTGTAGTGAATCCGTAATTAAGATGAAATATAACTGGGGATATTGTCATACATTTCTGAACTGTGAAGTTTTGCATTGTGGAAGCCTGCAAAGAATTTTCATGTCACCATTCACTACTGAGTACTTTCCATCACATACACTCACACACCCACTCATTCACACAGAACACAAAATACTGGAACTTTTCATAAATAGAATTTGTTGTATCGTAGTTGTAGGCCTACACAGTGATAATGTAACTCTTTTGCCTGCTATGTTGTCAGTCATGACAAGTTACAACATTAAACGTAATCATTCAGACACTCAGTTATCCATGCAGAACAAGACACTGAAACCTACATTAATAAGGTTTGTTGTGGTCATAGTTGCAGGTTTATCTCTTTTTCCAGTCATAACGATTGACAATGATGCTCACTTCTCATTTACATATTTTTTCTTTCTCTATGAGACGATATTTGCTTAAAGTAAATTCTCGCGGGTTGCTATTGTCATTTCCTTTATCTACTCCTAATCTATCTGAGATGATTTGTAGCTCTAGCAGATCCTTGCAGATCACTACTCCCGTCTCCCTCAGTTATTTTCCTCTTGAAATATATATATATATATTATATATATATATATATATATATATATATATATATATATATATTTTTATAAACGAAAATAAATGAAATAGTGAAGAGTAAAAACTGCAAAGCAATAAAAAAACGAAAATAAATGAAATAACGAAGAGCTAAAACTGCAAATCAATAAAAAAAACTGGCTAGTAGCACTTAACATCACTCTCTCACTGCTTTTTTTTCTCTTACTATCCGTACCCTTACGTGTAGGATCTGGTTTGATAAAGTATTAGATGGACTGTGGATTTCCGACACGGCACTGAAGGAGGACCCAGCTGCAGACATGGTCGCCTTAGAATGCCGTGGGATAATTTGTGCAGGTTTTAAGCCGCTCCAGGATTAAGTGAGAGGGCGCCACCTGCTGGGACGCCCGTCGATCCAGTGAAGAACCAGGAACTCATCAGTGCAGGTATCAGTAGCCCCAGGATGATGTGAAAGGGCGCCGCCTGCCTGGACGCCGCAGATGCAAACTCCAGGAGCTCATTAGCACAGGTATCAGTCGCCCTAAGGTGCCGGAAAGGGCGCCCTCTGCCCTGACGCCCGTAGACCCAGGACATTTGGACGAGCATGAAGATGGGAAGGACCTAGACGAAATCTGTGAGGACGTGTGAACGAAAACGCCGACAAGGAGGAGCAAACCGAATGCGAGAACGAGATGATCTGCAAATCCGCTCCTACAATGGGTCAATCAAGAACACCTCGAGGGCGAGGCGTGATTAGGTGGCCGAGCAGTATAGCATACCATATACATGTTTATATACTTTTATATAACTTTAAGCCACGTGAAGCGCTTGTGCTTCTAAATACAACCAAGCCAGACATCTGGGTCCGCTAGCATGCGTCAGATATAATTACAAC